CGGGGGGGCGGGAGTACGTGTTCCACACGTGTTTTTGTCGATGCTCCCCGACCCCCCCCCACCGGAAATGGAGGGCAAGTCGGGGCGGCCTTCGGGCTGGGTTGGGGTGGTCTGGCGGGCGGTGGCGGGTCCCTCGCGTATTCGATCGAGGAGCCCAGCAAAACCACTTCGGCCTGTCTTGCCCCCCTTCGTACTTCAAGACAAAGTCCCAGAACGCACGTCGAGCACCCAGAAACGTGAGCGAGACGGCGTCCAACGAGCGTGTCGCCTCCCAGGAGCCCGACGCGCGATCGAGAGCCCTCAAGCTGCGATACCTTCTTGGTGCTCGACATGATCTCTGGTGGTTCCGGCTGAAATCGGTTGGAGCATCGTACGGCAGGTTCGTGTCGTGTCGACCCCGGCGTTGGTTTTTGACACCGCAGGGATCGTTCAACCTTGAACGATCGGCCATTTCCGCAACGTCCGATCGTTCAACATCGACCGATTCTGGGCCGCCGGCGGCGTTCAACCTTGAACGTCGGCGGCGGGGTCGCCGCCGGTCGACACGACGCGAACCTACCGTACACTTCGGCATGCCCCCGCCGTGCGACCCGCACGACGAGGCCAGGGCGAGGATGGCATCGGGGGGGGTGGAGACACATCGGATCTCTGGGACCCGGCGGCTCTCGAGGCTGTCCCGGGCGCCGCGGCCTCCTCAGAGAGTCCCGGAACGCCCTCGAACGGAGTTATCCTCGTCCCAGCCCCGTCCGAACCGGATTCGTTTTCCAGAGCAACAAGAACTCTGAAGCCCGCTGCCCCTCAGGAGGGCTATCCCAATGGCGCGACCAAGACCGCGATGGGAGCAGCTCCATGGCCATCTGGGCGGTCGCAGCTGCGACCGTGCAGCGGGCCCAAGAACAGCCACCAGGACACTGGGAAGAAGGAGGGGGCGGAGAAGGACGAGGCGAAAAGAGGCACCGGCGTCGCGCGTGCATCCCCCACGGGCCCCGTCCGAACTTGACCGCCCTTGGCCTGCGCACGGCGGGCCGCGCGCTCGCGGCGGCGACGCGGGGGGCCGAGGGGTACGCGGCGGGGCGGGCGGGGGGCGGGGGCGGAGAGGCGCGCCGGCGGGGCGTGCGAGGAGCAGGGGCCTCGGATGCTCTGCGCTGGCCTCGCGGGCGCCCCAGGAAGGGCAGGAGCTCCAGGCAGCAGCGGCCGCCGTCGCCGTCGCCGCTCCCCTTCAGGGTTAGGGGCGGCACCAGCCGTAGGGCCGTAGGGTCGGACCCGAGGCGGAAGAACGTGCTTCAAGGACAGGAGGCCCTCCGCCAGCCCAAGCACACAGAGCATCCGAGGGTGCCCTCCCGCAGGATGCAAAAAGAGCATCCAGAAAGCACGAAGAGCATTGGGGCACCCTCCCCGAACCGACCTCGATCTGCTACCTCGGTCCGACTGTAAGGCTTTCGCAGTTCTCATTTCGCGCCGCGCACGCCCCAGTAAGGGCACGAGGTCCAGGCAAGAAGAAAAAAACTGCGGCCACCGACGACGACGGCGGAGACGAACGGCGTCGACGAGGAGGACGACAACGCCGACCGAGGAGCAGGGAAGCCCCGACCAGGCTAAGGTGGATGGGGGCGATGTGGGTTGGATCGGGCTGCTTTTTGAGGGGGGAGGTCCGTCCCATTTACGTGGGATAATTAAAAATGCCGCGTGAATCCGCCGACCCTGTCGGCGTGTGGAATGCGTTGTTCGTCGTGGTTGTTGTCCTCGAAATTACGCACTCGTCGTCTTCTTCTCTGGGTCCGTCGCCGCTCCCCCCCTCTTTCCCTGGGCCCTCGTTCTCAAGCGCGCAAGCCAAAGCGAAATGAAGCAACCCAGCCAAAGCGAAATTAACAACGTTGTCAGTGAGTCGAAGGGAAGCCCCTTCCCTTTGATCCCTTCCCCGCCAGGGGGGGGAGGGGCCCGGGGGGTCCCCGGGGCGGGGGCCCGGGTCAACATACCATCCCCCGTTTGCGGCTTCTACAGTGGGGCCTTCTGTAGATGCGCTGGAGTACGAGGGGTCGCCACGACGGATCTGCAAGAGCGCCCCTAGATGGCCCAAGCCCCACAAGACAGCCCAAGAACGCCGAAGGACGGCCAAAGGGGGCCCTCAGACGGGTCAACAAAAACCCACAAGGACTCTCGAGAAGGCCCAGAGAGGCCAAATTTATAGATTTCCGGAAAGGTTTTGTCCCCGCCCCCCCTCCCCCACCATCCTTGGCCAGACCCCCAGCTCCTTAGTTCGAGAGGATGCAGAGCGATGGCCCCCCCACTCCAGTTGGGGTTGTGCCGCACCATCCTCTCTCCCCCACCACTCCTCCTCCTCCTCCTCCTCCTCCTCCCCCTCCTCCTCCTCCTCCTCCTCCTCCTCGTCCTCCTCCTCCTCCTCCTCCTACTCCTCCTCCTCCTCCTCCGCTTTCTCCTGCTGCTCCCCCACTCCTCCTTCTCTTCCTCCTCCTGCTCCTCATCCTCCCCCCCCTCCTCCCTCATCCGCCTCCTCCACCCTTCCTCTTCCCCCCCCCTCACTCCTCCGCCTCCTCCGCCTCCTACCCCCCCCCCCGCTCGTTTTCATCTTCGTCGTCTTCAGGGTCGGCGGCACCGGCCGTAAGGCCGTCACAATATACCTAAACCTTCGGAACTCCGCGCGGACCTCTTGGATCGGCGCTGGGCTCCCCTTCCTGGCACGCGGAGCGCGCCAGGGGCGGCGTCGAAGGCGCCGCCAGAGGGCCTCAGCGCCGATCCGCGCGGATCTCCGACAGCTCATGTTGATGCAGCTTTCTTTTCTTCGATGGTCGGGGCTACTCATCGAGGGGGGGAAATCCCTTCACCGAGCGTGGATGCCCCCGCCCCACAACCGGTCTAGTCAAGGCTGCTCGCCCCCCCCACCGTAGTGGAGTGCTGGGTGGTCTGGTCCGGCTGGTCTGGTCAAGGCTTCCTGGCTGGTCTTACACTGCACTCATCGCACTTGATCACCACATCCCAGGAATCCTTCCGAGCACCCAGCAAGATCCCGAAACGATGCCTGACTGACACACTGGCGAGGTGTCGAACGAGTACCGTGAAACCCCTCCAGTTTCGGAACTTTCTTGGTGCTCGACAGTCGTGCTGGCGGTCCAGGCTGAAGGCGGTCGGAACACCAGGAAAGGCCTTGTCGAGGCTTCCTGGCTGGCCTGGCCGAGGTTCCCCGCCCCTCCAGCAGGTCTTCTGCTATGGTGGGCCAGTCTTCCACCAGCGCTACCAGAGGCAGGACGGGGGAGAAGGGAGGTTCTGGAGGCCCTCCTCCTCCTCCTCCTCCTTCTCCTCCTCCTCCTCCTCCCCCTCCTCCTCCTCCTCCTCCTCCTCCTCCTCCTCCTCCTCCTGCCCCCTCTCCTACCTGTGGCAGCGGTGGTGGACAATCGGCCCATCCTGCTGGGCAGCGGGCGCGAAGGAGCAGGCGCCCACCGCGCAGCTGACGGCGAGCTCCTGCCGCGTGCGCGGAGGCCGCCCGGCTCCCGCCCCAGGGCTCCGGGCCCCTGGGCGGGAGGAGGAGGGGGAGCAGGAGGAGGACAGGGAGGGGGGCAGGGAGGATGGGGAGGAGGCAGGGAGAAGGCAGGAGGAGGAGGGCGAGGAGGAGGGAGGAGGGAGGCAAAGAGGAGGGTGGAGAGAGTGGGGGAGGATCAAGCCAGGTGCGCTGGCGTCATATCTGAAGTCCCTCCCTCCCTCCTTCCCATCCTTCCCCATTGCGTAGAGCCCTCTATTCGCAAGGTCGGACGTCGACGAGGACAACGATCCCCAACAAGTACGCGATGCATAACATTGCCTGGTCACGCACTGCGTACCATACCTTTGCAACGCAGAGTATGCCATCGCATCTCGGCACAAAATATAGACTTATATGGCATGCCATTGGATTGCATGGAACTGCGTAGTCCAGCGTTGCGCATCATACCATTACACCAAAACACTTGACTGGCATACCATTGCTGCATGAACGGTGCAACGGGAAAGCCATGATGGAGGACAGACAATTTGGAGATGAGGCTGGTGTCGCAGCGGGAACACCATTCGCAAGGACCGAAAACGCGTAAATGAGGCCAACACTGCAGCGGGAACAATATTCGGAAGGGCTGAACACGCAGAAATGAAGCCAACGCTGCAGCGGGAGCACCACTCAGGAGGGCCGAACACGCGGGGACGATACCAACGCTGCAGCGGGAACAAAATTTTGAGGGACAAGAAGCGGGGAAGTGATGGAAGCAGCGCAGCGGGAACACGTTTTTAAGGGCCGAGAACAATCGGATGGGACGAACACGTCAGAAATACAAGCTCTTGAAATCCTGCCTGTGAGAAGCAATACGCGGAGACGGAGGGACATCTTCAAGGCAGAGTCACGGGAGAGTGGAGAGTGGTTCTCAGAATGTGCAACTGCGAAGGAGCAACTGACATGCATAAGAATACACTTTCGCAGGTCCGCGCGGATTTTTGGGATCGGCGCTGGACCCCCCTCCCTGGCACGAGGAGCGTGCCATGGGCGGCGCCGGAGGCGCCGCCATAAAGGGGGGGGGTCCAGCGCCGATCCAAGGAATCCACGCGGGCCTCCGGAAAATTAGGACTATGGTGCCTTCAGTGTTATGGAGGGTCGAGACGAGGAGCAGGAGGAGAGGGGCGAGGATGAGGTGCTCCTGGTGAGAGCGCGGGACCTTCATCGATGAGGCACGGCAAGAAGGTACGAGGATCGATAGGCCAAGCGGGGAAATAGGGCACGACGCAGAGCGACCTACAGTGGAGGTCAGTCCACAAGAAGCCTTCCCTCAAGAAACCCAATCCTGAGACCCCAGTTCGTCCATCGACCTTTGATGTGGGAACGTCACGCCTTCCACAGCAAAACCAGCGGAACCCAAGACACCCAGGGCACCCTGGAGGCTAGCAGCGTGTAGCTTGGCATGGGTCTCCAGTGTAAGCAAGGGAGCAAAAGCAGGAGGGAGCAGGCCGAGGCGAAGCCGATCCTGCCCAGGTGACACGCCCAACGAGAGTGGGGTCACCGACGTGATGGGCGTGACGAAGAGGTCCACCCCGACGTCATCTGCGGCGCCGTAGACCTGAGCACCAGCGACAGACTCCAAACAACAGATTTGACAGTCGGGGCCCGAACACAAGAAGCCTTCCACAATTAAGCCAACCCTGAAAAACCAATGGCATTGGTTTTTCATGTGGGGAGGTCGCGCTCTCCATCGCAAAACCGTCGGAATCCAAGAAACCCAGGGCACCGTGGAAGCAAGCAGGGTGTTTCTTGGCATGGGCCTCCACTGTATCGAGTGTGAACCAGGTCGCCCGAATCGGTAGAATCCAATCGCCCGTCCGACCACAACGAAGGTCATCTTCCTGACGACCCCAGTGCTGTTCAACGCGTCGCAAGCTTCGGCAGCGAGCGAGGGGGAAAAGAGAGAAGGGGCGGGCCTTATCGGAAGGCTCAGCCTCCGGCCTTCTGAGAAGTTTCCTGACCCGTCCCCGAAGACACCGAAAACCTCTCAGAAGGCACAAGGGCTGCTGAGAAGCCCTGTCGACTTCTGAAAAGGCCTTCTTCCTTCTCACTTACCCCCTCGCTCGCCGCCTGGAACTGCTACTTCATGACGTACGCACGTGCGCACATGCAAAACCAGTACCTTCTGTCGAACAGTGAAGCTTGGATCGCGTGTACCTCTATCGCCTTGCTCGGCTGAGGCTCCATCACTCCGGTGGAACACTGCTTCTGAACAGGGCCGCCCGACAAAGAGAAAGACACGGAGGGACAGAATAGGAGGAGGACGAGGGCAACCAGCAGGACATCCAAGCGAACACGTCGGTGCTGTCCAGGCGGGGCGCAGCAGAGTACAGGAGGCCGGCGGACGGCCCTGGTCTTGCCTGCCATCGCAGCATCGGGAGGGCCGGGCTGGCAAGGCGCGGGCGGGCACGAGTGCGAAACCTGCGCTCTTGGGAATGGCGCTTCTTCAGGGGCGAGGCGCGGCAGATCGCAGGCGACCTTGCCTTGCCTGCCATCGCAAGAAATCGGCACGGATGGGCCTGCGGGCGCGGGCTGGCCTGAACAAGAAGCCCACACTGTTGGGACTCGCGATTCCGCTGGGGTCAGACACAGCACATTGCAAGCGAATAACGATGGCCCAGTAAGGGGCATTCGTAGTACTAGCTCGGGCCTCGGGGGCTCTCAGCCAGCCACCGCACCTCCCATGGAATACAAGCGCTTGCCAATGAATGGGACGCACGAGGAAGGAGAAACAAAAGAGAGGGGGGGCAGCACGAGGAATGGGAGAAGAGGGCGAAAAAAGGATGATGATCAGGAGGAGCATCAACTCCTCCGGGGGGGACCCACATGTTTGCATGCTTGCACTGTGCACCAGCAGCGCCCGTAGGTGCACCGACGCCGCACCTTGGCTGCTGCCACTGCCCCCGCTGCCGCTGCTGGCCGCGCCCGCCCACTCGACATGGAAGTCTTCGGCGTCTGAGTGTCCTCCGCCTGCTCCCGTCCTTCGCGGCCACCCTGTCTGCCTTGTCCCTCCCCTCCTGCACGCCGGCCGGCCAATTCGCGCTTCGGTCGCCCCGAGCGCTCTCCGCTGGCGCAATTCTTCTCGGTGGCGCTCCCTTTGGGGCCGCGAGCACCGTGGGGTGTGTGCTGACATAGGTGTGTGGGACGCATGCGGGCGGTGGCGCTGGGGCCTTCGGTGGAGCTCCCGATGAGGTCACGAAGCGTGTGAGGGGTGTGCCGAAGTGGGTGTGGCTGACGCATGCTGGCGGTGGCACTAGGGCCTTCGGTGGAGCTCCCTATGGGGCCGCGAAGCGTGTGAGGGGTGTGCCGAAGTGGATGTGGTTGACGCATGCGGGCGGTGGCACGGCCTTCGGTGGAGCTCCCTATGGGGCCACGGAACGCTGTAGTAGGTGGGTGGGTCGCAGGGAGGAAGGAGGATGGGGAGGAGGGGGAGGAGGGGGAGAAGAGAGGAGGAAAGAGGCAGGGAGGGAAGGAGGGACGGAGGGAACGCGGGGACCGTCTCTTCAAGACGAGGACCCAACACCGCAGGATAGTTGGGACAACATTTGCATGCTTGCGTGCTTCCATGCCGAGGTGCATTCTCGCGCCATCGCGTGCTTGCACGATTGCCGCGGTTCGTGCCTGCGCTCCTGCATGCGCTCGCGCATTTCACGCTCGCACGTCCGCTTGCACGCCCAAAACATCAGGACATCAGACGGCATGCTTTGTCCGTGTCGTGCCTCCCCTGGAGCCCTGGACCATCCCAAATAATGGTCCTGCTCTTCTGAACAGCTGACCGTCTCGCGTTCCGTCGTGTCGGAAACCTGTCTAAAGGCACGCCTTGGTGCTTGGGACCACACTAGGGCAAGCTGTACTCCCATGGCATGGGCGCGCCCGCCTTGGCGCGCTCGGGCAGCCCCTTGCCTGACTCCACCAGGCTCCCACCAGGCCCTCGTCCTCTTTCTCCGCCTTCTCCTTCTTGCGGTGTTCCTCCTCCGCCTCATCTTCCTCCTCCTCCTCCTGCTCCTCCTCCTCCGCGTCTTCTTGTCCTCCTCATGTTCCTTGTCCTCCGCCCCCTCCCTACTCCATCGTCCCTCCCCAGTATCACCTCGCTTCTTCCAGACGGAGACAGGTGAATAGGAGGAGGAGGAGGAGGAGGAGGAGGACAAAAGGGAGAAGGAGGCGGAGGAGGAGGAGGAGGAGGAGGAGGAGCAGGAGGGGGAGGAGGAGGAGGAGGAGGAGGGAGGACATGGAGGAGGGAGGACATGGAGGAGGAGGAGGAGGAGGAGGAGGAGGAGGAGGAGGAAGGAGGGGAGGGGCACGCGGAGGGATCGGATGAGGAGGCTGGCGAGGACGCAGAAACAGGAAAAGAAGGCAGGGGAGGGGGGAGGGGGAGGGCGAAGAGGCAGAGAGGGTGGATGGGGATGCCGAGGGCGAGGGCGGGAGCGGTGGGAGCCTGGGGCCCCCCCCTCGACCTGGCCGCCTTCCCGCCCTGGGGGGGGGGGGGGGCGCCCCCCAGAGGTCGGGGCCGCCCAGCGCGCGCGGGGCCCCCAGAGGCCCGGGCCCCCCAGCTGGTGCACAGCCGCAGGGACTGCCCGTAGCCGAAGCCCGCGGCGTCCAGCGAGAGGGTGGACGGCCCAGTCGCGGGCACCTGCAGAGGGGCAGCAGCCCCACCCTGGCCATCGCTCGGACGTCCATTTCCTGTGTTTTTGTTCGGTGTCGTGCGTGGTTTCTTCGCCAATTGATCACGGATGCTCCTCGATGGTCCTCGCCGAAAGAAAAATGCACATGTCCGAGCGATGCCAAGATAAGAACACGGGGGAGGAGGAGGAGGAGGAGGAGGAGGAGGAGGAGGAGGAGGAGGAGGAGGAGGCGAGGACCATCGAGGAGGATGCTCCTCGGTGGTCCTCGCCGAAAGAAAAATGCACATGTCCGAGCGGTGCCAGGCACCCCGATCATGACCACCCCGGCGCGCGAGGCCTGCCGCAAACGCGCCCCAAAGAAGGGATCGAACAGGGCAGGAGGAGGAGGAGGAGGAGGAGGAGGGGGAGGACGAGGAGGAGGAGGAGGAGGAGGAGGAGGAGGAGGACGAGGAGGACGAGGAGGGGGAGGGGGAGGGGGAGGAGGAGGAGGAGGAGGACAGGGCTGTTTCGCAAACGCCCAGGGCAGTCTAGCAAACGCCACTGATCCGGTCCGGGTGGTGTTTTCTCCCTTGCACCTGGGCACCCTGGCCGTCGTCGACCTCCTCCTCCACCGCCGCCGCCGCCGCCGCCATCCTCCCGATCCTACAGTGAATCACACAGTGGGAATACTGCTACCCTCTCTTCCCTGACCCTGTGCTGCGGAGAGTGTCCCGTCCTCTCCGCGTATTGTCTTTTTACACGCAGGGTGCCATCATTTGCGTGTTCCGATATGTTTGTTTCCATCCGGTCGTTTCTGATTATTTCGGGATAGCGCTCCCGTTGCAACGCTGGCCTCGTTCTCGCACCTCCAGGCTGCGCTTGGCATTCGACAGCGCCCACATCGTGCAGGCCCGGTTGCAGAGAACATGGAGCCGGCAATCCAGACAGTCCCTGTCCTTTCGTACACAGGCCACTTTCCCTCCAAGCAAGCCATCGGGTGTCATGCCACGGCTTGCAATGCGATGCTGTGTTGTGCACCGCTATGTGTGCGATGCCTTGCTTTGCTTCGCTACGCCTTGAGATGCAATGCTTCACTGCGCAATGTCACGCCATGCTTTGACAAACCATGCTCTGCCTTGATCTTCTTCTACGCCATGCTCTTCCATCCACCGCGTACCCTCTTGGGATCATTGCCATGTTCGACATCCGACTGTGCGAGTAGAAGATCTGCGCCATGGTGAGGCATTGTGAGCGTTTTCTTATTCGGCGTTTCAATATTGGGAGGAAGGGGGTGGCAGAGGGGCTCTGGCTCTGAACCTCTGCTTAATGCGACTGTTTGCTGCAGTGCGTCCTATGGAAGAGGCTCCACCTGCCTGAAACAGGCGCCAAGAACAGCCAAGATGCACTCGATGAGGGGGGCGGGCGGGGGGGGTGCGGGGGCCTGCGCCGATCGGCAAAACAGGGACGTGCAAATCGATCGTCGTAATTGGGTACTGGGGGCGAAACACTAATCGAACCATCTAGTAGCTGGTTCCCTCCGAAGTTGCCCTCAGGATAACTGGAGCTGAACAGCTTTATCGGGTAAAGCGAACGATTCGAGGAATCGGGGGCGCGTTGTCCTCGACCTAATCTCGAACTTTCAATGGGTAAAATCCACTGGAATAGGAAAACGATCGCATGGGAGGGAGGGGTAGGACGTCGGACGTGACGCTGGCGCACCCAGCTTGTCCCCTCCCCCCTCTTCTCTGTTCGCCCACTCCTCGCCGCCCCCTGCTGCTGCCCTCCTCCTCCTCCTCCTACTCGTCATCCTCCTCCTCCTCTTCCTCCTCCTCCTCCTCCTCCTCCTCCTCTTCCTCCTCCTCCTCCTCCTCCTCCTCCTCCTCCTCCCTCCTCCTCCTCCTCCTCCTCCTCCTCCTCCTCCTCCCCCTCTCCCTTCGCTCCCCCCCTCGCGCTACCTGCGTCTGCCCTGCCCAAGTCGCTCTCGTCCTCCCTCCTCGCGGCGTGGCAGTAGAGGTGCCAGAGAGGTCCATCCTTCCCTCCTCACTCCTAGAGTCCACAGGAAACCTTCCACCAGAAACCGAGCCCTGAGACCCCAGGACGTCCATTGATGTCAGGTGAGGGGGCGTCACGCTCCCCACCGCAAAACCATCGAAGCCCAAGAAGCCAAGGGCACCCTGGAGGCACGCAGGGTGTTTTTTTAGGGGAACGAAAAATTACATAAACATGAGAACCTGGAGGTCCGCGCGGATTTCTTGAATCGGCGCTGGACCCGCCTCGCTGGCGAGTGGAGCGCGCCGAGGGCGGCGCCGGAGGCGCCGCCAGGGGGGTCCAGCGCGGATCCGAGAAATCCGTGCGGACCTCCGATGTTTCATATTTATGTAATTTGTTCGTTCCCCTAGTTTCTTCCTTCTTCTGCTGCACCCCCGGGTGCTCTGTGATTTGGGCTGGTGGGCGCCGCTGTCCCCCCCGCGGGGAAGAGCCTAGGGGAAGGGCCCAGGGTAAGCCTGGGGGAAGGGCCTAGGGGAAGGCCGAGGGTACACCCAGGGGAAGGGCATAGGGGAAGGGCCCAGGGGTAGGCCTAGGGGAAGGGCCTAGGGGAAAGGCCTAGGGGTAGGCCTAGGAGAAGGGCCTAGGGGAAGGGCCTAGGGGTAGGCCAAGGGTAGGCCTAGGGGTAGGGCCTAGGGAAGGCCTTCCATCCGGGTTCTATCAGGTTGTTTGGACTGATGGGCGCCGCTGTCTCCCCCGCCCCCCTGGCGGCAGAGCTCCGCAAGCCGCATCACCCGAGAGGCCCTCGCCCGACTGACCGACCTCCCGCGCGCCCTCCCCCCTCCTCTCCGCCCTCGCCTCCGCCCCGAGGACCGGCTGGAAGATGTCGAGGAGCGGCAGGGGGAGGGGGAGGAGAAGGAGGAGGGGGAGGAGGAGGAGAGGGAGGAGGAGGAGGAGGAGGAGGAGGACGAGGAGGGGTGTGGAGGAGAAGGAGGAGGAGGAGGAGGAGGAGGAGGGGGAGGAGGAGGAGGAGGAGGAGGGGAGGAGATGAGGAGAGGAGGGGGAGGAGGAGGAGGAGGAGGAGGAGGAGGAGGAGGAGGGGGAGGGAGGGCTGCGACGGGAGAAAAAGGAAGGCACATATCGACGGAGGAGGAGGCGGCGTAAAGGTGTGAGAGGAGGAGGAGGAGGAAAACGAGGAGGCGGAGGCGACGGATGACGAGGTGAAGGGGGAATAAGAGGACCAAGTGCAGAACAAGGTGGAAACACCAATGTCGCGAATCGGTATGCCCACAGTGGCACTGATGTGGAACGCAATGTTCACGACGCGGCGATGCGCTAGCCGTCGTTCCGCGTGCGGCTCAGAGTGCGAAGCAATGTGGAGTACTGCAGCAAAATCAATGTGTGAAGCAGCGCGTGGAAAAAAGGTACTCACGGATATTTCGTTAACAGGCACTGCGGGATCTTGCGCCACAGTTCTCCTAGCAACACACTTGGGACTGCCGAATCTGCAAACTTTAACTTGTAACTACGGGCGCGTCGCGTGATCTCATGGGGGTAAAGCGCCATGCTGCCATTCGTCAGGCCTACACGGCGCGCGGTTTCGGCTATCGATGCGTACCACTTCCATGACTCGGGTCTGGTATCCGTCCCCAGCGATTGTTCGACTTTGTTACTCTGGCGCGTGAGCGGCCAAGCCACAACTAGTTAGCAAGGGGCACGTTCCGCGACTCAGTCACATGGTTTAAAATAATTGCGGATGTAACGCCTTTATTGCCGTCAATGTGATTGACCACGAGATTTTCTGAGTAGGATGGTTGCCATGAGAAGGCTCGGGCGACGAGTCGCTGGACGCAATTATTTATCATGACCGTCGGTTGTAATGCCGGTGACACAATGGCCAACTCCTATCTGCGAGCCGTGGAACACCAATTCGCGAGTGGATGTCATTCGTCCGTGGGAGCTGACCTTCCAGGTCGATAGCTCTATGCCTGTGCATGGCTGTAGTGCAGGCCGCCACTCTTCGCCTGACAAACATGCAAAAACGATGGATGTTCCACATTTAAACTCATACCCCTTTGCTGAAGTGAGCCAGTCCTTGCAACATTGATATATGTTACTGGGATCAACACCTGCTTCGAGGGACGCTAGACGCCCAAACTGTCGATCGAAACACCGACCTTGTCCAGCCCATCTGCTGAGGACTGGTTGAGGGCACCTGCGAAAGTTCCGCGAGTACTGTTCGTTTCATGTGAGTGGAAGGTAATATCGAAACGTGTGACGAACTCCAGATTGTCACAATGATTGTTGATACGATCACAGTCCTTGTGATTAACATCGATGTGCTGCGTCGAAGGCGGTGGCCCCAAGAAAGCATGGGCAACCAATCGATGCACAAAGTTAGGGCTTCCACCAACGGAGATACTGTAGTACCCCTCGTCGTTCAAACAGGGCACCGAATAAAGCGGAGGTCATTGGAAACAGCGCGGATCACTTCAGCAAGCTCCTCGGCCGAAGGTGGCTAAGGCCAAGTTGGCTCGAAGACAAAGGCTACGCAGTGGCTATCACTAGATGTGCAGCAACTTTGGGGGTGGTGTGACGAGAACGCAGGAGCCTCAAAACCAGGCGATGCCATACGGGGCCTCCTGTCCAGAAAAGCGCAGACCAGAAAAGCGTGGCAGGGCAGACAATGATCCATCTTGTGAGACGTCCCTTCCTACTCCTTTACCACCCTCCTGGACCGGAATTGAAGAGTGCGGCCTGAAGACGCCCGGTCGGGCTAGAGCCGCATCCTGACAAGGCATACCTTGCGCAAGTGCTGTGACCAACCATATGTTACGAAAAGAGCAAGTCGCAAAGAAGCGCACACGATACCCCGAGAAGCTGCTAAGAAGCCCCCAGGATGCTCCCCAAGAGGTCCCCCCGAGAGGCCACAAGGTGGCCTCAGCGGGACTCCAAGAAACTCCAAGCGAGCCACTGGCCACGACCCATGGCAGGGCGGAAGGACGGGCCGAAGGCCACTGGATCTGCCGACCACTTCGGCTTGCAGAAAAAGGCTGCTGGCGGGCTGGAGATTGTACTTCTTGGCTCTTCCAAATAATGGCATGGCCTACAGGATGCCTCCAGGGTGGCCAAGATGACTTCTGGGCTCCGTGTTGGCCTCCTGGATGGCCACGGCGTCCCAAGATGCCCTAGTAGTTCGGCGCTTAGCCGCCGCGACTCGCAACACGCAGCAGCAAGCGCAGTGACACGGAGCTCCACACGCTGACTGAACACGTAGCTATGACGCGATGCATTCGCCAAAAGAAGAAGAGCACACGACATAAACATGAGCTTTGGGCGCTCCGCGCGGATTTCTTAGATCTGCGCTGGCCACCCCTCTCTGGCGCGCGGAGCGCGCCAGGGGCGGCGCCCGAGGCGCCGCCGGGGGGGCCCAGCGCGGATCCAAGACACCCGCGCAACACGCAACGAGTCTACGTTTATAAGCCGTTCTTGTAAAGTTTCGCCGTGCGGCGAGCCAGCACGCAACGTATCGACACGGCCGTGTTGAGCATGGCACGTGCTGCGCTTCGGCACGGGCGCAGCGGGGCAGGCGAGGCTCGGCGGCGAGCTGGGCGCGGGCGGCCCCAGCGCGAAAGGCCCGCCGGAAGAGGCCGAGAGGCGCCCGGGCGAGGCGCAGCGCAGCGGACTGCTGGTGCACTGCTCGGCGGCGGCGGTGGGCCATGCCGAGGGCCGCTGCTGCTTCCTGCGAGGAGAAGCCCGGGAGCTTCGCCTCAGTGGGGCTTCGCCTCAGTACGGTCAGGTCGGGCGCGTCCCCACCTCCTCCTCCTCCTCCTCCACGACCTGTCCTGCCACTTAGTCACGTTCCTCATCATCCTCATGATCTGCGCTCCTGTCACCCCCGTTTTCCATTTTATCTCCACCTCCTTCTATTATCCTCCTCCTCCTCCTCCTCCTCCTCCTCCTCATCATCATCATCATCATCATCATCCTACCTCCATCCCACACCACTCCTCCGCCTCCTCCTTCTCCTTCTCTTTCTCCTCCTCCTCCTCCTCCTCCTCCTCCTCGACCTCCTCCTCTACCCCTCTGCCCTCCCTGCTTTTCTCTTCATGCCCCTCCTCCGTCCTCCTCTCCCTCCCATTCCCGCTCCCTTGCTCTCTACTGTTTTTGGAGACCGTGAGTTCGAGGATTTGAGGAGGATGCTCGTAACACCTGCGGGGAAGAAACTCATTCAAAAACCATGCTCACCGACAACTCTCATCCAGGAATCTGTTCCTCCCCAATAGGAGAAGTAGGAGGAAGAGGAGGAGGAGGAGGAGGCGGAGGAGGAGGAGGAGGAGGAGGAGGAGGAGGGAGGAGGACAGCGTACAGGGGGAGGAGGAGGGAGGAGGAGGAGGAGGATCAGGAGAAGGAGGAGGATCAGGAGGAGGAGGAGGAGGAGGTTAAGATGAGTATGACCAAGGAGAGAAGGGCGCATGGGTGGAGGGGGGGAGGACGGGGAGGGAGCGCAAGGGGAGGCCTGGGGGGGGGACGAGTGAGTTACAATTAAGTCGTGCCTGTCCCCCTACAGGGGGATTTTGAACGAAACATAAAACATACCCCAAAATATTCAAACATAGTCAGAGAGAATGCTTTAACAAAATCGCCCCCTGACAATATTCTGTCTATGTTTGAATATTCCTCCTGTAGAGGGACAGGCCCGACTTACAGTTACAAGGAGGAAGGGGAGAAGTTGGTGAAGAGGGGGAGCAGGAATGAGAAAGAAAGAGAGAGAGAGAGAGAGAGAGAGAGGCGAGAGCATGGCGAAGGGGAGCAGGGAGCAGGTGAGGGAGAATTAAAATGAAGCAGGCAGGCCATGGGGAGGAGGGTCGCCGACGGCCTGGGCGGCGGCAGCGGCGGCGGGTGAGCCCAGCTGAAGGGACGACGGCCGTCGTCGGCGGCCGGCGGCCAGCGGAGAAGTCGCGACTGCCGGCGGCGGCCAACTCTGGCGCTGGAAAGGGCGGTGACGGCGTCGGCCAGCCTGGAGGACGGCGCCCTGCATGACGGCGGACATGCGGCACCCGAGGCCGCGGGGGACTGGCCACCTGAGCTCTGCCGCGCTCCTCCTGCGCCTCCTCATGCGCCTCTGCCCTCCCGCGCCTCCTCCTGCGCCTCTGCCTCCTCCTCCTCGCCCTCGTTCTCGTCTGCCTCCTCCTCATCCCCTGTGAAGAAAGGCATACGCGGAAACCACACACACACATCTTCCTTCTCATCTCGCCACACAAAGAAAAACACCTTCCTCCTCTCCCTCCCTCTCCTCTCGAAATAGCGGCGCCCAATGCTTGCTGTCCTTGGTTCGGGGGGGTCCAGAGGGCCTTCTCAGGAGCTCCACGGGAGCATCAACAAGCAGCGGCCCCGGAGGGGAGACTCTGGTCCCTGGGATGGGGGTCGCGAGCTGCACGTTGAGGGGTGAAAAATCGCGCCCTTCTTCAGGGGAGGGGGGACGTTTTGTTGCCATTTTCGGCCTCTGGGTTCTGTTGCTCCCATCGTGCTGAGGGCCACGTCCCATATGTAACTTCGAGCACCCAGGAAAGTATCGAAACGGTGTCGAACGAGCTTCGCCTCCCAGGGCCCAACACGTGAAAACCATCAAGTTTCGGTACGGCAGGTTCGTGTCGTGCCGACCCCAGCTTTGGTTTTTGACACCGCAGGGATCGTTCAACCTTGAACGATCGGCCGCTGCCGCAACGTCCGATCGTTCAACATCGATCGATTCTGGGTCGCCGGCGGCGTTCAACCTTGAGCGCCCGCGCTGGGGTCGCCGCTGGTCGACACGACGCAAACCTACCGTACTTTCTTTGTGCTCGAAATTCTCTCTGGCAGTCAAGGCTAAAGCAGCCTGGAACATCACAACTCTGGGGGCCCTCGCCGGACCCCAAGACCGTCAACAAATTATTATCTTGCACAGCTGTGCGAAGGATTGCACAAAAAAAACCGAAGGATTGCACAAAAAACCGAAGGGTTTTTTTGTGCAATCCTTCGTTTTTTTGTGCAATCCTTCGTTCAAGGTAGAGCTCGGACATCTTTATTTTCGTGTCGTGTCGTGTCGTGTCGTTCGTCCCCCTGCCCCCCCCCCCTCCAGGCTTCCCAGGGCAGCCCCCCCCTGGGCCTCGGACACCTTTATTTTCGTGTCGTGTCGTGTCGTGTCGTTCGTCCCCCTGCCCCCCCCCCCTGTCCACGCTTCCCAGGGTAGCCCCCCTGGGCACGGAACCCTTTATTTTCGTCGTCGTCGTGTCGTTCGTCCCCCCCCCCCCTGTCCACGCTTCCCAGGGTAGCCCCCCTGGGCCACTTTTATTCAGGACGGAAAACCGGTCCAAGGAAAAAAGGGTCAAGACCTCAGGGGGTCGAAATTGCTGGCGCCGGGAAACGGAAGCAGGAGCGCGGTCAAAGGACGTTGCTGGACTCGGCCTCGACCGCTGTGCGGATCAATAGGTCGCCAGGCAGACCACTAACACCACGCCCTTGGTTACAAGTGCGTGGTCGTAGTAAGCCTCCTGGGAGCTGCCGAAGGCCAGAGAGCCGCCGGGGCGCCGCGTGACACGCGCGATGACGCGCAGGGTTAACCCTGTCAGCCCACAGGAGGTTCCGCGCACAGCGCCTCTCGCGCTGGGGCAGGGGCGTGTTTACGCTCTTGGCCGTGGGCACATGCTGCGAAAACTGTTCCCTTCCCTCGTCGGGAGTCCAAGGCTCACTCAGGGGCACGGTGCGGGGGCTTCTAGACGGGCGCCCTCGCCGAAATGTTTCGGCTCCTGGGGCACCCGCACGGGTCTACAGAGCTGGAGTAGTCAACGGTGCTGAGCTCCGCTTTCTGGCGGCGCGCACGAGGGGTTAGGGGGGGGGGAAGGCGTCTTAGGAGGCTGCTTCTTAGAAGGCGCGGATCTTACAGCCATGGCCAGGCACGCGCCTTCTAAGAAGCAAGGGTACTTCTAAGAAGCCTTCCCCCCTCCCCCTACTCCCCTTTGCGTGTGGCCGATGTTTCCCACTAAGACGGAGGCAGAATCGAGACAACATCGGACTGATATAAACCGGACATATGAAAATCGGCGGGTTATGAACATGTCTCGGGCGCCGCAACCGTTTCTGAGCATTCCGCAACGCTCTGATAGCGTTCCGGAACGCTCTGGCAAGACTTTATCTCGAGTCTAGACCCGTCCGACGCACGATGAATGCGCATGTGGCTCGTGCTGTTCAGCAGTGCGAGGAGAAAAATCGGGGATCTTCTGACCCGGGTCAATCCAAACCCAGGTCAGCCAAGCCTTGCAGAATCCTGCAGAATTCTGCAAGATCCTGCACCCAAACCCGGGTCAACGCGAATGATCCTGCACGATCCTGCAGGATGCTGCACCCAAACCCAGGTCAATGCGACCCTGGCCCTGCAGGATCCTGCAGGATCCGGCAAGATCCAGCACTCTGGCTGACCCCCGTTTGCATTGACCCCCGCCTCTCGAGCCCCGACAAGATGGGGGTCGAGTTGCTCCGGTCGTGGTCTGTTCGCCACTTCGTGACTCCTATAGGCCACATAATATCGCGCATCGCGCGCACGCGCGCGCCCCGCGGTGCGCGACTCGAGGCTTGGATATCTTCCCTCGGCAACCCAACTTCGCGCCTCGCGCGCGCCCCGCGGTGCGCGCCCGGAGGCCTAGAGTATGCGCGCCCTCGCGCCACCGCCCGCTGCGGCCCGTGCTGGTGGCTCGCGGAGCGCGGTTGTTGTCTTCGCGCCCCCGCGGCTGACCTTGGATAGGGGAACGAGCAATGGCATGAACATGAAAACTCGGAGGCCCGCGCGGACTTCTCGGATCGGTGCTTGACCCCCCTCCCTGGCGCGCGGAGCGCGACAGGGGCGTCGCCGGAGGCGCCGCCAGGGGGGTCCAGCGCGGATCCGAGAACTCCGCGGGGCCCTCCGACTTTTCATGTTCATGTCATCGCTCGTTCGGCGGCGGCGGCGGCAGCCAGCGAGGGAACCGAGGAGAGAACCGAGGAGGGAGGCGAGGAGGGAGGCGAGGAGGGAGGCGAGGAGGGAGGCGAGGAGGGAGGCGAGGAGGAGGCGAGGGAGCCTCTGGGAATGCCGGCGGCGAGGGAGGCAGGGCGCGGCCGCGGCAAGGGGGGGGTGGCTGCGGCCTCCTCGCGGCCTTTGCGGGGGGGGTGGGGGGGGGCACCGGGCGCCGGGCCCCGTGGGAGCACTCCGGGCGTCTGCGGTACAGTCGGGGCGTTGGCCTAAGGAACCCTAGTTGAGGAACGAGGCCCCGTTTTCCCATGAGTTAAGCTTCGACTTCCCATCGAAGCCCTGAACAAGACCAAAGGCGAACTACAAAACAACTGAGGAACACCGAGCCCCTCCCCAACGAAAAGGGTTCCTTCCTCAGCGCCCCGACTGTAGGCCGGGGAGGGGCCGTGCCACCGTGGGAGCGAGCTCGAAGGAGCCCGCGGGGCCTCGAGGTAAGGGCAAGCCTCAGGGAGGACGGGAGGGGTGTGTGGGGGGGGGGGGGGGGAAGGGGGTCGGGGGGAGGGGGGGAGGGGGAGGATCTCCAATAGCCAAGGACGCAGTCATGGAGTCCACAGGCAAGGAGCCAGCTCCTGCTTGCGTGCTCATGGGGCTAAGTGGGAGGTGAGGTGCACATAGGATGTCCCGAATAGCCGTTGACCGGAAGAAGTGGACAGAAGCATGAAGCAGGACGGCGTTGCTTGTAAGTTGGTTTCTGGTCTGCCCCTGAATTGGAAGGAACAGGGGAGGCCAGTCCATTCTTAACACATGCGAAGGCGGGTGATCCATATGGGAATCTGGGGATCGAGAACCCTTTTTTGCTTTCAACGAACAACGGGTGCGTGCTCCGTCTGCGTGCTCTTTCTTTAGTCTGCGCCGCGGTATCCACGGCCCAGGTAAATGCAGAGCCAGGCTTAGGCCGGACATGTCCCACTACAGGCGGATTTTGGACGGAAAACGCAAATAGTTTTTCCTTTAACAAAAAAGATCCGAAATATTGGAAACTCGTCCCAAGACTATCTTTGGAGTATTTTTGAAAATCCCCCTGTAGAGGGACACGCCCGACTTGGGGCCAGGCAGAGCTGACCTGCACATGGCTATACCAGTGCCCCCTCTCGCGAGGCGGGGAGTTCGGCGAAGGGAAATTGCAGGGATGGTCGGAGGCGTGGGTCGGGCATGTCCCCCTACAGGCTTGGCGCCAAAAATAAAAAAAAATCAAACCACGCTCCAAAACTATTGAAAAATAGTCAAACATCGTCCACAGATGTTTTTGCTTCAGCAAAAAACTGTGTCTGAACTTTCCTTCTGTAGAGGGACACGACCGACTCGATCGGAGGCCAAACCTCACCGCGTTAGGTGGCACATCCTGGGATGGCTTCGTGGGAGCGGTTCGAATCGGGGAGACGTAAGACTCGGGTTCGGGGGACTCGGGCTGGCCTGACGGGGACTTCAATTCAAATGACGAGACCCCATCTGAGATTTGACGCGAACTCCCGCTGCAAATATCCCACGCAAGCGGAATCGTCAACATCCAAGACGCGATTGTCAAAAAAACGTGGGTAAACCCGAGTTCTGGCTTACTCGAGTCTTGCGTTTCCCTGATAGAAGCCACAGCCCAGTGAAACAAGATTGAGCGGAACTGCGCAGGATGAAGCGGGACTGGGCCAGATGTGGTCAGCGTTCGACCAGGGGCATGCCAGCGCCGATGCTGGATTCCACCTCCAAAAGTGTTGCAACCTAGAAGCCACCCGTTGGCCTGCCCGCCCGGGCAATGGCTGCTGCGCTGGGGCTCGAATACGGGGGGGCGGCGATGTGCCTTTAGCAACCACGACACCACGAGCGTCGAAACCCGCTGGAAAGCAGGAAAAACCGTCATACGACGTGTTGGCACACAAGTGCGAGCTCGACGTCAAGCTTCATTCTGTGTCAACAGAAGTCGACTGCGCAGACCCCGCGCCCTGTCATTTGCGAGGTCGCGGGGCACCAGATCTTCAGGACGGAAGCGAAATGCGAAACAGCGAACGGAGCAACAGCAGCACTAAGTCGGGCCTGTCCCCCTACAGT